GAATAACCCCCATTTTTAAAAAACTGTACATATATGAATACACAAGATTATATAAGCTAGGAAAAAAGTCTAGAAGTGTATAAAAATAGCAGTGGTTATCTTTGTGGGTAAGATTAAAGAGGACTTACTATTTTATTACACATGCTTCTCAATTGCTTGCATTTAAGGGAATGCGTGTATGACTTTAAAATTAAAAATAGGCCGGGTTCGGTGGCTCAGCCTGTAATCCCAGCACTTTAGGAGGCCAAAGTGAGTAGATTGCCTGAGCCTGCCGTTTCAAGACCAGCCCGGGCAACTTGACAAGACCTCATCTCTACAATAAAATCAAAAAAATTAGCCGGACGCAGTAGCATGCATACCAATAGTTCCGGCTACTTGGAAGGCTGAGGCAGAAGGATCGCCGGAGCCCAGCAGGTCGACGATGGGGTGGCCGTGAGAATGCCACTGCACTCCAGCCTGGGCGATGGAGTGAGACTCCAACTCAAAAAACAAAACTTGAAAATAATGTTTAGATTGGCAGTAGTGGGAAACTGCCGGGGTGGGCCACACCTCATCAACAAAGGTACCTGCATAATGAACGTTTGTATACCTAACCCAGAATTGTACTCCACATCTTTAAAATTAAAAAAAATTTTTAAATGTTTAAAAAATATGAGACAAAACAAAAATTAAAAATAGGAGGGAAAGATGCATGTGTTTCATTGGGAAACTAAGGCTATAATTCCAAAACTCCCTTTGAGCTGGTCATATATAAATATATATGTGCATTAGATTATATAGTCTACATACTGGTCTTATATATATGTTTGTCTGCATGTATGGAGGCTGAGTTGGAAACTAGATCATTTGAAGTTAACATTAATCTATTTTTAGTCCAAAAAAAGAGAGGTAAATCAAATTCCTTCTCATTTTCAAACTCATGAAGCACCACTGTACTTTGAAGATGTTTCACCCAGCAGTCTATATACTGGCTAATCCATCAATGAGTCTCATTTTTGTATATTATTATATATGAAATCCATTTTACCTATAGGAAAAAAAGGTTTGGTATTGGCTATCTTAGCAAACATCAGGAATCTGAATGGAAGTAATTAACCTGAAACATGCTCGTTATTATATATGATATAATAAAGCGTTATTTCTTCAAAAACCACAGAACAGTGAAAAGAATGACATTATTGTCTCAACACAGGCATTCTTAAAGAGTAAGCCTTTAAAACATCCAGGCCATTCCTCAGCCAAAAGTCTGTCAAATCGCTCTTATTCTCAAGTTAAAAACCACTAAACCAGTTCTCTACATATTAACCATCTGCAAAAAAACACACTTCATGCTCTGAAGAGCTACCTATAAGAACACTTCTGCACTTGGTGGTAGAAAGGAACTCTGCCTACCAATATCATATCATGTCAGTAGATGTTTCTGGTGCTTGGCAGGCTTTGATACCATAGACGTCTTTCCTATATGTAGGGCTCCACTGGGGGAAGCAGAGCAAAATTTTTGCTCTGTAAAAGTATCTTCCACTGTTGGGATCTCACTAACATTTATTTTACCCCCACACCTCCTATTTTCTATCTCACATATTATCAGTCCCTTACCCTACAACAATTCCTCTTATATCTTCACCTTCCTTTCACTCACTCCCTACTCCACCCAAGGAAAACAGATTCTGGTTTTGAATAACAGAAGAATGGTGGCTACAAGGAGATGAACTTTGGCAGGTTTTCAGGGCCTCTGAAAAACAGTAAAGGACCTGAGAAACTGGATAAGGGCAAAGAAGGATACTACACACTGTCCTAATTTCCTTTGAGAACTCGCCAGCTCAGCTTCAGACAGGCAATACAATTTTGCTGGATGATGCTCTGAATTGGCCTTCAACATCCTATTTCCACAGTGTCTTCCTCAGCAAGGACAACTCATCGCTAAAACTACTTTGCCATGAACTACAAGATGTAGAAATGTAGCCTCTTAGATTTACTACTTTTCTCCATGAAATGATGGGGGGGGGGGGAAGAAAGTGAAATGAGAGCAAAGGCTCCACTAAGAGAAATGGAATAGGTAAAGGAAAACAAAGACATTGAGTAACTTAAAATAATGTGGGAGCTGTTTCTGTCAGGAATAACATGTTACATAATTTGAGTTTCATGAATCAGCAGTTTAGTCAGTAATTTACATGAATTTTAAAAAGAGAGAAAACAAGACTGGAAAAGGTAAAGTGGTTTCTGAAACAAGGCAGGTATCAAAAGTATTTTGTTCCACTCCCACACAGAAGAACGCTGAAAGGCAGATGACTCAGTATGGCTTCATTAAGGGTTTCTCACCACCTAATACCCTCATGGGAAAGGCCATTCCATTTCTCATTTATTCCTGATAACCCTTCTCAATTCCTCCCTCCAGAATATAGCCATTATGGCTATATTCTTCTCTCTAATTGAAAGTTATCCATATGGAAATCACATATTTTAGGATACACAGAGTTATGCTCAATGGTATAAACAGTTGAGGGATGTTGTTGCTGTTTTAAAGACCCTTTATGCTAAAGTAATTGCAACATTACAAAAAAACAAAGTGTCAGACTGTTCAAAAAAAGTGTACAATGCTCACAATCATATTTGAACTTTATCATAAATCTAAGTAGCTTAGAGAGATAAGAAAGCTGTCAACACAAACACAAATATCGTGTGTCCAATCTAAGCATTATCAAAGTCAGAGAAAAAAGGTAGGGTATTTGTGAGAGAAAAAAAATAACCAACCTATTTTCTTTTTCAAAAACCAGGGATGACAAAGTACATTCCTGTCTCTTTTGCAGAAAATGTGCTATATCAGATACTGTCTGAAATAAGAGAAGCATTGGATTAGGGCTGGAAATCTCCAAGGCATAAATCAATTACTATGGTATTTTGAGAGCATGTTTTGAAAGAACAGGATATCTGAAGTTCTTTGGACTCATTCATGCCACAAATGTTTATCACAGGCCTGCACGTGCCAGGCACGGTCCACACACCTACTCTCTATTCAAGCTTTGCTTCTCCCTTGCTGTGCAATTGCAGCTAAAGCATGTTAACATTTCTATCCCTCAGTTTCTTCATTCGTAAGAAACTAAGAACAGAGAATAAAAAGTGGTTGAGACCAACCTCACAAGGTCTCTCTGAAGAGCAAATGCGTATGCCTGGAAGCACTTTGTATACCATGAAAGTGCTAGGTGTTATTTGGCTGAACAGAATTCATGAATAACACTAATGTCTGCTGTGACATATATTATATCAGGGAAACGTGAGCCTTCCTGCTTCAAGAAACACTTCATAATCCTATTAAATAAGGCTTATCGGCTCAGTTTATTCTCTGTAAAGTTAATGGAGGGGGGTGGAAGAAAGTTAGTAGGATGTGAAATTTACATTCATCACCACCACAATGACAAGAACCGTGTCCATCTAATTCACGCTTCAAGTCTCTACCATTCTGGCCACTAGGCCAAGGTGCTCATTTGAAAAGGGCTAATCTATGAGGCTAGCCCACCAATTCAATGTTATCAACAACAAATGGCAGTAAAATGACAAAGCATTGTTTATGTTGATGTGTACACACAAAAAATGTTATATTTTCAAGTTCAATTTGACCTTCAAACCTAAACTATGTCATATGAATAATGTCAAACAGATTCGGAACAAAGATCCTCCTAAAAACAAAATTATGATCAACGCAGTGGCAGTTAAAGAAAGGGGGAAGTTCTGACCTCTCCAGAGTTGACTGCTGGATGCAATGGCGGATGAGAGAGACAATCTCACAGAGGCCGCTGGGGATCTAAGCTGAGACCTGCTCAGAACAGGTCGCATTCCCAGAGCTCCAGACTCCTTCCCTCCCCACCCCCCCCCCCCGCCCCCGGGGAAATGCAGGGGTGTCGGTTTTCTTACCGGGAGTGATACGTAGCCAAGAGGGCCCGAAACACACCCAATCCTAAAACATGCCTGAAACTTCCTCTACTGTGTCCAGCTCTTGCAATGACACTCGGGGGACCAAAATACAGTAAGCACGGCCTCTTCATTGCTAGAACCGCTACAATTTAATATTCTGAGTTAAGAATTTGAGTTCATACTTATAAGGCACTTAGAAGAGCCCAGCACGTGGTAAGAGGCCATCTGAGTGTTTGGTAAATAAAGAAGGCACTTTCCTGATTGGTTGGGTAAAATCTCAACCTGGGGGGCGGGGGGAGAGAATCAAAATACACAAGTCTATTTTTCACGTTCACAGAGATTTAGAAAGTATAGTGCTCTGTGTTTACATTCGCATCTCAAGCGTACCCTATAAAGTCTCTTGTGCAGGACTGAAGCGCTGCTCGTGGTTCAGGTCTGCACTGGGCAAAAATGCGATGAAAGCGTTTACGTTACAAGAGATGAATTCTTTCTCTTTTCTATCTTTCCAAGTAATGATCACTAAAAAACGACAACACCTAAACATTTCAAAGCACTTTTAGAGGGTACACACCAATGCTAAAACTGTGAGAATTAGCAGGGCCGGATTCACCTGAAAAGATGGAGGGGTTGAAATCCGAGAACTTAAAGGGTAGCAACGCGTTCGAGTCTCTGGCTTACTGGTCCGCTGACAACAGGTTGACGATTCCCGTTCGCCCCCTCCCCGGTCCCCGCGGGCGACCGGCGCCCACTCCGGACCTCAAGTGAGGTCCGCCCCCCTCGGCAGCGGCGCCCGGGTTAACGCCGTCCATCCACCCACACCGCCCGGGCGTTCGGGAATCCCGAAGCGGAATCCGAATCCGCTTCGAGGACACAAAGACCGCAGACTCCGGGAGAGTCGGGGGCCGGGCGCGGGTCCTGCCTTCTTCCGGCCGATCAACCCCGAGATTGCCGGGGAGCCCGGGAAAGTCGCGTCTGCTCCGAGGCGACGCGGCGGCCGCGGCCCGGGCAGCCCTCGCCCCGCCCCGCCTCCCCCGCCCCGGCCTCCGGCAGCGGCCCGGGCGCGCGCCGACCCCGCGCGCCCCGGCACCTACCCGGCTCGGCGGGGCTGCCTCCCGGCGCGAGGGCGCTGAGCCGAACGCGCTCGCGCTTCCTCCTTCCCCGCAGGGCCGCCGGGCGCCGGCGTTTCCTCCCTGACGCG